AGCTTCTGGGGGATCCATGCAGATAACCAGGTAAAAAGGTCACACGATGTGAGGAAAACTGCTTATAAGAGAAGCAAGGCAACAAGTAATCTGGGGAACCAATAGGGATTGGGCAAAATTAACTACAGCTGCTTCCCTAGATTAGAAACCAGAAGAAGTTACTAAAAACAAGGTAGTTCAACCCAACAGGAATGAGGTTGTTGTCTCCTGGAAAGGATCTCCCAATTCATTTAACTCTGATGCTCTGAGAATTAACAGCTTATTATGGACCCATAACCAAATCAGGAACAGTGATGGTTTGTATAAAAGTAAAATTGAAGCAAACCCACTGCAAATTGTTGCAGAACTGTGAAAGGTCATAAAATGGGTGATGGTCAGACTCAAAATAGAAGTGTTATCTGGTTTAGTTACAAGTGGACAGATCAGCACTCTGATAAAAGAAATACAAGTCCTGCAAGATCGCCGTATGCCCATGGCCAGGTAGCTGGTATGATCTTCCCCAGGTCTCACTACCTACCAGAGGAAATCTATACTAATGCTGGCAATTTTTGCTGCACCTCTTGCATAATGGTTTAAGGCCTTTTCCCCATGGGTAGTATGGTAGATTCCACAAGCAGCATTAAGGATATTTTAAACAATCAGCTGTTACCCAAATTTGGAACAGTCACTTTGGACCTATACCTCTGACGCAGCCATAAGGGCAGTACTACCTCAGAAGTGTGATAGTAAGAGATTCCAGTGTTATGTTTGAATTGCAAGCTGCTCCCTAGTTCCAGGAATATTTCCTTACTTTATTTAGTGATTGTTTGATATGAATATAAAAGCAGTCTTGGAAGGAGGAAACTGAATCCGGACTCTCTTTTCCCCTCTTCCTTAGGTGAGTGCCATAACCACTCATTACAGATTCATGGGGTGCCTGTAGACATCCAGAGATGCTGCTCTGATGCACTGTAATTACAGTGTGTTGGAGCAGACTCAATTAATTGAGTCTGCTGGAGCATGACACTTAGCGCACTCCAGGAGCCTTTGTGTCTCAAAATGGCCTCACTTCAAAATGGCCACAGCCACCACCATCATTTTGAAGCGTGGGACACTGAATACACAAGACACTGCTGGTGCTTTAATTAGAGCGGCTCTCAGAGTCACTTTAATTAAAGCATTCCCCTTCCCCACCCCCAGAGCATGTTTAAAGACTAAGTGAACTTTGGCACATAAATGTGATCCCACTTCCCCTTGACAAAGTCCTTGAAAAAATTACACAAACTTTTGTAATATGTCGTCCTCCTAATCTCGTTCACTTTTTGTGTTACAAGTTTCCCTTGGACTCAAGCAGGTTAGAACAGAATCACAATTATTCCTCTAACAGGTGGAACAGATTCTCACTCTTCATGTACATATAATAGGAGTGATAATGATGTACGCCACTGAGAATAATGAATGTCCTCATCGGAGAAGAAAAGAAGTTCATATCAAATGTGATAATACTTGCAAATTACAGTGACATATCAGATGCTGCAATATGTTCCACTATATCCTTTGGTTAGATAGAATCAAAATCTGCTGTTTTAGTTGTGCTGCTACCAGAAATTTTTAAAAAATAATATAGCAGTATATGTTGGACATTTATTTCTATCATTAATCTCTTGAGCTCTTTAACAGTAGTACATGATGCTAGATCATCACCTGTGAACTTTAAACAGATGCTGGCAGTGGGGTTTATGTGTTACATCACAGTCTGGACAACAGAACAGTGGCTTGCTGTGAAATGACATAAGGATTAACTTGACTGGGATGTGTCTATTTCTTTCCTGATGGTTATACCACATGGCAAGGGTATATACATGCTATTTTTCTAAAACTATGGATGCCAGAGCATAATGAGATCTTAGGAAAGGAGATTGCAGATGTGAAAAAAAAAGAGAGAATAAAAAGCATTATTCATTATCCATCCTTCCCCAATAGCTATGTCCAAAAAGTATGGTCCCTGATAGAGTTCACTGAGGTTGCAAGGATTCCTTAAGACAATAAGTCCCAGAGTATGTCTTGTAAGCCCAGAAGAATGAGATGTAATGTATTCTGACACAGTCAGTCAACAATCTCACAAACTCAAGAGAGCCTCATAAAGTTCCAACTGAGAATGACGTATGCTTTCTTGACCACTTACTAGACCTTAGCACTCCTGATTTCTCTGACCTTCTGAGGCTGGCAGATGGCAGAATTCACATGCTCTGGAGGGCTTTACGGGGCCATTTCTCAACTTCAGAAAAGGTAATGTTCTATTGACTATAATCCAGATTATGATTTGTCCTCTTGCTTCCTTGGTAAGAAACTATGGAGAACCACATTGCATTTCCTAGATCTTATTTACTAGGTCGTATATTCTTCCTGTTCACATGAAGAAAAGTGAGTATAGTCCTTAAAAGTCTGAGCAAGGAACATTCTTTGATGAGATGAAGGGTTCCTGCCTAGAGCAGGGGATTGGACTGGATGATGACTTGATGTCCCTTTGAGCCTTGTGCTTCAATGATACTATGATTTCTATGATTCTATGAAATAAAGGATCTTGAAATTCAAGCACAGGACTAGGATTCAAGTAATTTGGGTTCTATTCTTAACAGTCACAAACTCCTAGGCCTGAACCCTAAAACTGCTGGTCTGTTAATGAACAGAAGCACAAGATAGATGCCCCCTCCCCGCCCCGTGAAATCAATTCAGGCTTGATTAAAAAATATTTTGATGTTATTATTTATATTGTTCTTAAAAATAATTCTTAATTTAATGCAAAATATATTAAGGCCTATTCTCTTTCAACAGCTAAATAAAAACAATAAATATGTAGATATATCTCAAAACATTATGATGTGGGCTGCATTATTTTCTATATGCCAAAAAAGAACCAGAGGAAGTCATTTAAATTTGTGGCCATAATATATAAATATGATCAAGGCTCAATTCTTGGAGGGACTAGAGGCTGTTCTTCTGGGTGCAAGGGACTGGCAAATTTATTACAAGTCTTGGGATAAAGCCTCTGACTCTAGTACACACCATCATATCTGTCATCAAGATCACTTGGATGAGCCCACATTGGTGATTTCACTCCTATGTTATAGCTTGTCCCTACCCGAGCTCTGGTTGGCTCAGCTCTCAAATTATGACTACTCCACTCACTATGGAAAACACTGATATGCCTACTACCAGCCCAGGCTTTCAAATGCTTCTGGACACTTCAAATGGCTTCATTTTGTCTCCTTGTACATGTGCACAGACAGAGATACAAACAAACAAAAATCCTTTCTTTTCTGAACAGCTTCCTTTTCTGCTTCTAAATAAATACATTCCTGTAGTGCAGAGGCAGGCAAAATGCAGCCCGCATTCCACATGCAGCCTGCCAGGCCATTGCATTCAGCCCACGGGACCCCTAAAAAATTTAGAAAATAAATATTAATCTGCCCCCGGCTGCCTGTCATGCGGCCCTTGATGGCTTGCCAAAACTCAGTAAGCGGCCCTCTGCCCAAAATAATTGCCCACCCCTGCAGTAGTGCAAAAGGCGTGTGTTATACAAACAAATGTCTTGGATTACTTGTAGTTCTTTTGTTTTTCCAAAGGTATGAGTGGACTGTGGGTGCAGATGTACAGGGGTAGTTATAAAACATGGGAGAAGGAGGTCAAGCAGGATGTGCAACTAGGAAGAAGCAATGTTGTGTTGCTCATGTCAAATACAGGCATTGGGGAAGAAACAATGTTTTTCAGTGTGCAGCTTCCAGTGTTGATTTCAGCAAATGTGAACAGGAAAGGAAAAAATCCCTGCTATGCAGCAGGTTGTAAAAATGATTCTATCTGGGAATATTTTAAAAGAAATTCCTGTTCTTTGGGGTAAAAAGGGGATAAGGAAGAGGGCATCTCTGAACAAACTAGTTAGAAATCTTATTTTCCCAAAAGCCTAATGGACTGGCAACTGTCCTAATTCAGCTGCTTGACACATCATGGGTAAAAAAGTTTCCATTAAATCATATATCCACATTTTTAATGGTCATATCAACCAATGAAAAGTCACCTCTGTTTTAAAAAAAATAACTGAATTGCAAAGTTGATTAAAAATGATGATTTAATTCCTTAGTTTAAATCAATCCACTCTGAGTACAACCTACACTGAGGTTATCAGCTGCAGGAACTTCAGGGTAAGTTATATCTTATGCACAGACCGTACTAGATCTGTGGAATGTTAAGCAGTGTTAAAGTTTGGAGCAGTGTATCTCGGGATGCTTGAGGACTGCAAATTGTTTGTTTTATTTCCATGGAACAGCCTGAAGCTACCCTAACACAAGCTAGGTAGCAAGGCCAAGAGTTAAGCCTTGCCTGAAGTGGCATAACTTTGAGGGACTCCAAGGGCACTTAGCAGAAGTTAATAAGATTTAAGGTACAGACACTTGCATTTTAAGTGCCCTTAGAATAGCCTAAGTGTAACGTGTAACTTCACCCGCATACTAACGTGTGCATGTGTGTGTTTGTGTGCATGTGCACATGCATATAATCCATATACAATCGATAATATTGAAATATCTATAATTTAATATTATCAATTCTATATAGGTTATGTGCACACACACACATGCATACATGATGTATGTACAACATGTCGCAAACTGATTCTAAAGGTCTGGAAAAGATGTCGATACAGCCTAAACTAAATGTCAGCAAAAACTATGACTGCTTTAACTGCATTATGTAAATAAAAATAGTTATTTAAGGAAGTAGAAGGGGCAGCAAAACCATAGAGTGAAGAGAAGATATCAGAAGTAGCTGTCAGAAATGGCCAAGTAGTAGCATTTGGTTTATAGTTACTACTGATACTCTGTGGGTATGTCTACATGTGCACTAACTGCAAAGTAAGTGGTTTTTAGACCGGCATCTACATGTATAGGTGTTACTGAGTAGTAGCACTGTGTGCGCTCCAACTTGGGAGTAAAGTTACATGTGCCTTACTGCACAGTAACTATTTACGCAGTAACTAAGTGGGTGGAAATTTGCTGCCTGCATGAAGTAACTATAAACCAAATTTGTTACCTGCACGATGCAGGTAGGAAATTTATGGTCAACTCAGCATAAGTCACCAGAGGTACTGCACAGTACAGGTGCACACATGTAAACATACACCTGTACTGCATAGTAACTTTCAGTTACTGCACAGTAACTTAAGTTACTGCGCAATAATTGTGCATGTGTAGACGTGCCCAGTGTATAGCTACTTCTCTCTGCTCCACACGTAAATATTATAGATCATCCTTGTCTAACAGCTCCATAGCTGATCCATAGTTGATCCAATAAAAGCAAACCTTGATCCTTGCATATTCCCTGGATCATCACAGCTATATGAACACTACAACTATACCATAATATTGTTTATTAGGATTAGAAATTCCTTGGATGTGGTACCATATGGTTATACAGTGTCTAGTATAATAGGGCCAAGATGTCAGTTAGAGTATTAGGCCCCCTCTACACATTAACCGTTTTATCACAAGTTGAGATCCAGCTACACGTTCAACCAATTAATGCTGTGATTAAACAACCAATAAGCTACAAAGTTATTCCACAGAAAATGCATAATAATTTTGTAGCTAATTCTAACCCTGTCATTAACTGAATGTGTAGCGAAGTGCTCCACAGGGATGCACAACCTGCTGCCAGCCCCACAGCTGACAAGATTCAAACTAGTGCAGCGTTCCCTGCACTGACCCGACTGTGTGGCTAGTTAACTGTGGCTCTTGCAGCGGAGAGAAAACTGCCTTGCCTGAGAGCCTCATAAGGTGCTCCCACTGCCCCCCCCGTGACCCCTGCATCTTATGAGGCTTTTGGCGGGGCAGCATTCCAAGCATTACCCCTGCTGCAAGCCCCACAGCTGACCAGGTTCACAGTGATAGCAGCATTCTTCCCACTGCTCCCACTGCAAGCCCTTCAGCCAATGGGGAACCCTGCCCCCAATGCAAACCCTGTCGCAGTTGTGAGAGCTGGGCAAAATCCCCCTGCACTGGTGATAAAGTGCAATGGGATCTAATGCATGATCCTACAATCACACCAGTTGCCATGCTCCTGTGGCATGGCAGGAAGTGCAATTGTGTGGACCAGACTTTAAATCTCATAGTTGCTTTACCTGCACATGTAGAGGGGCCTCATACAAATTTAAGTCTGATGTTACAATCCAAAGCAAAAATGATCTTCACCTGTACTTGGAGCAAAATATTCAGGAAAAAAAAATTAAAAACCTTCAAATTGTTTCAATATATGTTAACCAGAATTATTGGGAATTAAAAGAAGAAAAAAACTTACTCTAGGGAAAAACCTAAGCTATAGAAAAACTTCAAAAATCCTAGAAACTAGATACTGAATTTCATAGTTTCAAAGTTTCATAGATTTAGGGTCGGAAGGGACCTAGTAGATCTTCTAGCCCGACCCCCCGCCAGGGC